AACATTAATTATGACCCATACAATGTAAATTTGACATATTTGACAATTTCTACAAATAAACTCGTTCAACTTAAGACTTAAGATTTGTCGTCCAGGGTCACAAATATATGAAAAATCTTTGTAGCATTCAGAATATTGAACTGGATGAAATAGTGAAACAGGCTTGGCAGATATATTTAATGGGTTAAAAATAAATAGACAATTATACAAATATAACTAATAAACAGAAGAAAAATTTCATGGCGTTATATGGGTCTTGTCTTGTGTACCTCAAGCTTTTACTCTGTGTTTGTTTGATTACCCAAACCATCCACCAGTCACTTAATCCATTCCCTCATCTGCAGCTGCTGCTACTAACTCACCTCTGTCCATCCGCAAAACCAATGGTAAGCTAAACCTGTTATCTCACGTTACACATGGCTTGCTTCTGCTTACCAGGGGATGCTACTGTTGCTTTTTCTTAACGGGAAAAGGAATTAAACAATTGGTTTATTGCTTGGAAATTTTCTGGGTGCAGATGAAAGAAGCCATACCTTTATTTATTTAGGGTTTTATAAACAGAACTTGAATGAGTAAAGACCACTTTGATTATATTTTGGTGTCTCCTGTATCAGAAACCTGTAAAAGTATTTTTTTTTCTACTTTATCTATGTAAAAATCCACAATAGTACGTATCTGTCAAAATCATCAAAGGTTTTTGTATCTTTTTTGTTTCATGTCAGATCTTTGCTCTTCTCTTTCATTTAATATTATTACATTTCCTGAGTCTGTTCAGTTCAAAATCATTCCTGGCAGCGCATTATTTAATACAATGTAATTTATATTCATAGTCCCTTGTCTTCACTGCCAGTTCATTTAGAGAACTGAATTAATGTCTCGTTAAAGATTCTAGTATTATCTTTCTACATTCCCTTATGGGTTAACATCAATATTGCTTCCAGACAGACTTCCTGAAATCCTTAACCTGTGTTTCTGCTGTAAACCTATCTTATTTCTTTATTAATACTAGTCCTTACTTAAGTGTTACCCTTTGGTATATGTTTGTACTTTATCCATTTCAAACAATCCCTGTGTTAACTTCCGTATTGTGCCTACAATTGATTTTTCCTGTATACTGTTGTGTTTTGTTATATTGTGTGTCTGAAAGATAAGTAATAGCCTGCTCTGACCTCTTCATTTTTTATATCTGCAAAGATAAATAATAGCCTGCTCTGACCTCTTCATTTTTACCAAATCTGGGATCCTCTGCTAAATACTTGAGCCGGAGCAGAAAAAGAGAGGGCTGCATTTTTGTGGTCACTACTGCGGTTTACTCCTCACGCTGAGACTCCATCCACTAGCTCTCCCCCCGCTAGGCCTCTTGTTGCTCCTGCACCCCGGGGCCCCAAAACGTCACTCGGCTTCATCTCCACACCCCTCATCTGGCCCGTGAGGAAGAAAGTAGAAGCTGCCGTCACTCGGCCACACAAACGTCCCGTCATCCATCTGACCAAGCCGCCTTCCCAACCGACAATAAGCATGACGAATGAATCCCACTGGCTGAAAACATCCACAATGACCTCTGTTGCCAAGAAAACAGACTCTACAAGCATGAGGCCGGCCTATTCCCAGGTGAAGCCTCCATGGCAACCAGACGCTCACAATCAGACTGAAGACTTTGAGTCTTTCCAGGTGGCGTCACTCAGTAATCGTAAGAATAAGCCAATAGCTCCCCAAGTGGTTGTGAGTGACAGTGACAAAAACCTCACAGAGATACTCGATTACCCATCTGGTTTTGGACCAGAGGCGTTTTTTTATGACATTGACTTGGATGATGATGTCTTCAGCCTGTTTGACTTTGATTCCACCTACTCCCTGGATGAAAGCTTGGCCCCTGCCACCCCCCACAACATGTCTTTCCTAGAAATAGAAAGTGTGCCTACTGTCAACACTACAAGTTTTGCACCGGTGAGACAGGCTGTTAGCAAACAGGAACATTTAGAAAGTCACTCAGACCTTAGTTTACCTTGGGCTATGTCAGAGTTGGCACAGGTCTCAGAACGGCTGGAGACAGACAGCAGCTGGACACTTATCCCTTCCTCCTCAATGAGTCCGGGAGTAACAGGTGTGCAAATGATCCAGTCTGAGCTCAAGAGTCTCCCTGGCCAAACAGCAGCACCACCAGAGTGGTCGCCCACACACCTTGTGGATATAAAGCTAACAAGCACCGTGGCCTGGGGCCTGTCGAAGGAAACTGCCACCAAGGACACTGTTAAAGATGTGCAACATGATCAGAAAAAGTCCACAATGGTTACACATGGCAAGATGGAATCTTTAACAAAAGGTTACGGCAGGACAAACTTGTCAGAAACTGATTATAGTCTAACCGATACCACCCCTTTTCTTTTTTCATCAGCCTCCCAACAGAGCTCTTTCGACTATCTCCCCAATCAAACTATTTTACTCATAGAGCCTTTGGCAGCGAGCCCTCTCACTCCTCAAGGCAGCTATACCCTCACAACAGAGACACTTGTTATCTCCTCTCTCTCCCCCTCTCATAGTGTCGAGCCAGTGGCTGAACTGCTTATGGATTCAACCCACAGCGCTGCCACTCTTATTGAGCCTCAGAGTTCAATGCCTACTGAAGGGGTTCAAAGTGACTTCTTAATGACACAGGCCATCAGACCCAGTCCGTTGTCTTCCTTGCCGCACACTGATGTTTTCCCATCTCTGACACCTGGCTCAGCCCAAATTCTCTTTATCTCAGATCCCAAAAACAACACTGACCTGGTTTTACCCTCAATGAACAATCAGTTTATCCTCTCTGAAAACCCTCAAGTCGTTCACTCCAGCCAATTCCCAAATTCTAGGGTTTTCACTTTGTATCCGAGCATCGCAGGTGGCATTTCTACGTCAGTAGACGGCAGCTGGTCCAAATCAGAGTCACCTCTGGCGCTGGAGCCGTCGCTTATACACAGATTGCCAGAGACCCTTTTCAGAGGCTTAAGCAGGCAAGGCGATGTTAATCCTTCAGAGGTCGATCTGAGGGACTTGTCACATATGCCTCATATTTCTGTCAATGCTAGTTCAGAATTACCAAACAGTTCTGCGGTGGCCCTGACAGATGAACAGAGAGGCTCTCAGTCTTGGCCCGTTAATTCAGATGCCCAAACTAAAGCAGAGAGGATTAATATATCTCCCAGTTTGCCCTCCCTCAACATTTTGGACTCTGTACGTGGCATGGTCACATCGACATGGTCAGCCAACACCACAGCTGACAGGGAAAGTTCCCAAATTTCATCAACTGAAATATTTCCCTCACATTTCCTCAATTCAATAAGAAACCATAGACCAGATGAGGCCTCACCTTATGAAACCAAATTCAGATATCAGTCAGAGACAATAGACATTTCTAACTTCATAGAACCAGGCAATGTCTTTCCTTCTCGCTCTAAAGAGAAGGTTTACCATGATAGATTTATTATTTCTAGTGCTTACACTCGAATCAGCAGTACAACCCACAAATACATTGAAGCCACCCCTACCACATGGCCCTTAAAAACAACTCTGAACATCCCAGATGTCTCTAAGTCATTTAAGAAAAAGCAGATTTCGAACACTATTCAAGACTATGAATTGTTTAAAATAAATATGCACACAATTGAACCATTCCACACTCAACCTCATTTGCAAATAACTATGACTTATGCAGATCTGTCATCTCATACACCACCAAACACTCCTCTTCATCAATTTCACACTTCTATAAGCAGCATGCCATCAGTACTTGAATGGACTGCCTCCATTTCAGTCTTTCAACCATCCAAATCAATACACATCTCAAGCGGCTACAGTGAAGACCTGCTGGACGCTAAACATGTCCACTCTTCAACAACAAAGTGGCCATTTTGGGCCAAGAATGAATCAGCAAACCCCTCCAGCCACAGCCACAATGTGCTCGTTGTTCAACCCGCCACCACAGATACCAAGACGCATCCGACTCCAGCTATTGACGACCAGCCTTTTGTCCCAACAAATGGCACAGCCGCCACCCCAGCCAATGGAGTCATCCCAAGTTTTGGCTCGGTGCACGCTGGTGCCACCAATGGGACCACTACAGACCCTCATGAACTGGCCCCATGTCCATGTAAAGCTCCCTTTCATATTACATGTCTGTGTGGACTTTCAGCCGGGAACAGTATGTTTTCCAATAACGATCTAGACCTTAGAAAGAGAAATAGTTTCTTTTATTACTGAATCCTGACTTTCTGAGCAAGTGAACGAATCGTAGAATGATGGTTACCCAATTGTGGGGAAAAATGAGGGTCTTCTTGCTGTGCAGATTAAAATCCTATTTGATTTACTAGAGTATATTAACCATAGCCAGTTCTGACAATCATTGATTTTCAGCCCTCTTAATGTACTGATTTGCTCACTCAGATCGAGTGCATAGCTCTCTTGAAATTATCCAGATTTATATCATTCTTCCTTCTTAGGAGACTGCCATATTTAATCATTTATTTCACCTTGACCATTTTAGTTTTACTTCAAGAAGGATTTGCTCTCTGACAATTTTACGAGAGAATCCTTGTGTGGATTGAAAGTACAGTGTGCTATCTTAAGAAGCTGTCTCATATTTTCAATTTGTGAAGTCAGTTTTTGAAATGTTATTATATCTGGAGTCTCCTAAGAAAGCCTTGGCATGGTGTAGTACTGCATCATAAAGTAGTCCAGCACTAACAACTCAAGATACATGAGAGCCATCTTGTGGTAGAAGTGCAGCATAGCAGTAGCTCTCAAAATGCATTGCTTCATGTACCGAGAATGTGATTAATGGCAAATCCTCTATACTGAACTTGTTTATGTAAGACTTTGGGTTGATTTGGTTTAGCAGACTGATTTTAAGATCTGTTTGGTAATTACCAAGACATAGACTACTGCTATGCATCACAGAAATAAAGCAAGTGAATTAAATACCTTTTTTGACGTGCAACTAAAAATTTCTTTATCTACTATTACAGAGGATATTTTCTACAGATCAACCCTTGTGGTTACTGATGAACAAACTCCAGATAGAGATGCTACGGCGATAATATCTCAATGGGTATATTTTTACACTTTTCTTATATATTTGTTTTCTTTTACTGTTAAATGCATTTTAAATGGCTGTTACAAAGCTACTGAAAATTATTATAGACTTTTATTTTACACTTAAATTATTATACACATGTTTTTTGATGTTTTACAGCTCAATCAGACATTTCAGAACTGGATGTATAGAGTTTATGTTGATGGCATCAGGTATGGTTCTTTTAAAAATCTAATTATAACAGTAAACATTCATTTTTTCTTTAACTAATGACTTTTACCATTTGAGTTTTTAGTCTTCAGCTTATCACTGTTCTCTCAAGGATCACAACCACACGGTAAAACATTTCAGACTGCTTATTTATATTTTTATTAAAAAGATATTCCATTAGGCTAATTGGTAACACTTTATTTAATTGGTCCAGTTGAGTGTTAGACTGTCTGCTTAATATCTGTTGATACTGCTCCTTCAACAGATGTTTAACTGACTATAAGAAACTTTGCAAGTACACGTCAGCTTACACTAACCCTTATCCCTAACCCCAACCCCAACCTGACAGTCTACTTGTAATCTAATGAGAATTCGTTGGCATGTTAAACTCAACAACTTAATTTCAACAATTTAAGCTGGCAACTTAAATTCAGCAAATGGACCATCAAAATAAAGTGTTACTGCCTATTTATATGCATATATATATATATTTTTTTTTTGCTAATCTATCGAAACAGATTTGTTGTTGATGTGATATTGCATTTTTCACAGACAAATCTACTTGGCGCTACTGGTGTATAAGAATACCACCGATGTGAATCTGGCAGAGGTGGAGATTGAGAGCATGCTGAGAAGTGCCCCTGCTATTGGAAATGGCTTGACTTTAGACAGTGTTACCGTGAACTTAATGGGTATGGCATGCTTTACAGTGACAATTCAGTAACCATAAATAATGAGTATTTTTGCTTGGATATTGTTTAATAACGTGATATTTTTAGTGTTTTAATTAATATGAATTAATACAAATTAATATTACTGAGCTCTTCTTAAATATAGGTAATGTTGTATTTGTCTTGATACCTATAAGTGCATTTTGAAGTCATTAAAGATGAGATATACAGTGCTCAGCATAATTGAGCTATGCTCATAATTGAGTTATGCATTTCTCTTTTTTGAAAATGCATATTTTTATCCATTCCTCAGTGAATATAGGCAATAGATTGTAGTGAATTTAAACAAAACAGATTTGTAAAACAGATGTTGATTAAAATGTTATTTTAGTCACCAAACATATTTAGAAATTGAAAGATAATACAATAAATTTAAGCAAAATATTGCAAAAATAAATGACAACCTACAAAATTTCAACAAAATTTTTCAATTTTTCAATTTATTTATTTATTTTTTTGCTTTTTTCCTCTTTTTAAAATTTGAATTTAATATTTTTCTATAACATATAAATTTGGGTGTACTAGTTTTTGGACCAATATCATAAGTTATTTTGTTAGATAAGCTCCAGATTTCAGTACTGTTATTGTGTGTGCATTTGTTGGAGTTTCACTGACTTGAAAAGTTAATAAAAAGAGGGGATTTAAATAAATAATCCAAAAACAACTACTACGGTTCGCTTTAGTCAGTGTATTTCTCTTATATGAGCCAAAGACATGTCTTAACCAAAGGAGGGACTGTTTTGTTTTTATATTTTCTGTACCTTTATACCTTTTGCATGTTTCCCTGTTTAGTAAATATGGCATTTAAATTAACTAAGTGTGCAAAGTTCTGTCAGTAAGGCCTTGAGTGGAGCTATTTTTTGTGTAATATAAAACAGATTTTTTAATTTGAACAAACTATAAACCTGAACTCAGGGTGGCACGGTGGCTGAGTGGTTGGCACTGTCACCCAACAGCAAGAAGGTCATTGGTTTGAGTCCCGGCTGTATGAAGTTATAATATCCTTCCCTTGTTTATGTGAGTTTCCTCTGGGTGCTCCTGTTTCCTCCTCAGTCCAAAGACGTGTGCTATAGGAGAATTGAATAAACTAAATTGGCCATAGTGTATGTGTGTGTGAATGAGTTTGTATGGATGTTTCCCAGTACTGAGTTTGTCCTGAAACTTTATCCACTTTGTAAAACATATACTGGATAAATTGGTGGTTCATTCCGCTGTGGTGACCCCTGATTAATAAAAGGACTAAGCCGAAAGAAAATTAATGAATGAAAAAACTTGAACTCATCTTAACAAACTTAAATATATCATATGAATATATACTATATCATACAGTACATCTTGTTCAAGTCTGAATTTAAAAAACAGGGTTGACAGTTAAGGAGTTGTAGCCTAAATAATCAAACTATAAGTGCTAAAATGTCTCAATGGGTCAACAACAAAATGCTGTTTCTGCTTTTCCTCAGAAAATTGTCAGGCAGATGAGTTCCCAGTCCACTATAGATGGCCAGAGAGCAGACCCACAGTCACTCAGTATGTTCCCTGTTTCCCTTACAAAGATCGAAACGCATCCAGAACTTGGTGAGTAATTGTTGACATCTTCCGATCTAAATGCAAATGGGAATAGACTACTAATTGAAGCATTGAATTCAGTTATGTTTTAACATCTGTGCTCCAGTAATCAGTTCAATATTTTATATTTGTTTTTTTCCTCTCCTAAGCATGATTAACCGGGATAATTATACATCATTTTGGGCCCTGCCTGACCGTGGAAACTGCACTAATATAACCAGCATTACGGTTTCACAAGGTTGGATCTAAATACACATTTTACACATTGCTCTGAAATCAAAACTGACTTTATTAATGCTTAGTTTAATTCCAACAGAGAATGCGATGGATGTGGCTGTGCAGCTTGCCGATATCAGCAATAATGGGCTGTCCAAGGAGGAACTGACACAGGTTGTTACCAAGGTGATGGAGCTGGTGAACATAGCCAAAATCAACGCCACCCTGGCCAGCACTGTGGTCACCATCATTTCTAACGTCATGGTCAGCTCAGAGGATGCTCAGAAGGATGCCTCAGAGACGTATGTTTGATTTTGCAGGACTTGCCTTTGTAGATGGTGTATTCTATGGAATTTTTGGTTTCAAGTGTGGTCCTGAAAAATCTCAGTTTCAAAGGCTATCTAGACCTTCCCTTTAGCCTCACGCCTTCAAGCTAAAGAGAATTTGGACACCCCTTTACATGAATGTGCAAAAAGAGGGGTAATGGGAAGGGCTCTAGGGTAAAAGTAAGCCTTGGATTTCTAATTAACGTCTATGTAAAATATTTAAGAACCTTCATTTTGATGGTCTGCTTCAGATATTGACTTTTTTATGGACTCACAATGGCCATTCAACTGATGCAAGTACATCAGTAAATTCTTCTAACCCTATCAATGTACTAAACACTCATGAGAGTTAGTTGAAAAAAGTCAATAGAATATCTAAAGCAGGGGTGCTCAACCCTGTTCCTAGAGCTCAACCATCCTGCAGATTTTAGCTCAAACCCTGATCAAACACATAACTAATTAATTAGGACTTAAACAGTACTTGATAATTACAGGCAGGTGTGTTTGATCAGGGTTGGAGCTGAAATCTGCAGGAAGTAGATCTTCAGGAATATGGTTGGTCACCCCTGGTCTAAAAAAAAACCATAAAAAAAAAAAAGGTCTGTCCAATTATTCTTTTAATTTTGGTTTTAGATGTTTATTTGGCTTGCTGGTTTATTTTGGTTTATCATATTTTTTATTTCACTCTTTGAAAGCTTGTTGGTCTCAGTTTAAAACAAGTGCTTATCACGTTAGAAAATTGTTATATTACTTGGATGTTGTTGTTAAGGCTTACTAGCAAAGATTTTCAATTATAATTTAGTAGTTCTAAAAAAAAATTCAGAAGAAAGTCGGAGGAGAACCTTTGTGCATTTCCGAGTGTTTCATAGTGATATATGGAAATTAAGCTTTCTGAACCAGTGGACCGTTCAACTCAGTTGTATTGAAAAATGTTTGCTACTCAAAGCTTTCCAAAACAGAGCTCGATGAGAACCTCTGCTGGTTAAAGTGTGGGAAAGCACTGTGTTGCAAAAATGTCAAATGTTCACATCTGACCAACTCATTCATGTAGTAATACAACAATAGTAATATAAACAAATTGCTCAATTACTGTAGTTTTTTAACATATAAGGTATGTTACATTACAGTACCAATAACTGTAGTAAAATCCAAGGTGTTCAAAATGCGATCTCTGTGGAAGAGGAGGCTATGGGAGTGAAGCTTTTTGCTCTGCACTTGCCAGCTGACATCCGAAATACTATACCACAATATGCAGTGGCCTTTAAAAAAAAACTGTTGTAAATAATACCCTAATACACCCACATAGCTTTTTACTATAAATTACTATTGTATTTTAGTTATATTACTGGTGCGTGGGACCGATGCAGTGCTTTGAAACAGCAGAAATGTATGTAATTGACTCCTAATCTATTGCAACAGTATATACTTTACTAACCCATAAGGGTGTTAAAACCTTAGAATCAAAATTCGAAGCAGTCACATGGGTATAGGCGAAAATTATGCTTCAGGCGTCACTGATCATGTGATTCTGGCAAAACAAATTAAGCACTGCTATACTGCTTCACTGCGAGATTTTTTTGATACATGCTTCGAAACGTCCGCACACAATGTCACATCACTAGTGTTTCATTTCTCAATTAATATATATTTTTAACAAACTGACTGAGGCAATGATTTAATTAGCCATTCATAAGGCTCACTTGCTTCATTTCAGCCTAATAAATGAATTGTTTCAATTAATGTTTCAGCAAATCCCTCGTTACAGGCATAGTTCACACTAAACTGAATATTCTGTCATCATTTACTCATCCTTTAATTCTTTCAAACCTGTTCGACACTTTTCTGTTGAGCAAAAAAGAAAATATTTTGAACAAAGCAGGAAATCTGTAACCATTGATGTCCATAGAATTTGTTTTTCCTATATGTGAGTCAATGGTTACAGGTTAATTTAACAAAATAAAGAAACTTATAGAGATTTTAAACAAGTAAATGTTGAGTAAACGATGGCAGAACTTTCCGTTTTGAGTGACCTATCCATTTAAGACAACAACTTGTTGCTACTTCCTGGCTCCTTTAGGGTCCTTCTTATATTATTATATTATATTATATTATTATATTATATTATATTATATTATATTATATTATATTATATTATATTATATTATATTATATTATATTATATTATCCGACTCTCTCTGAAATGTCTGTATCATATTAATCCAAATGCTTAGTCTTGTATTTTCAAACAAAAGGTTTTCAATATTTTAACTGATTAAAATATAATCATCATATGTCTTGGTACAGAGCTCTCAAAGCAGTGGATGAACTGGTGCAGAAGATTGAGTTTGACGGACCCTCACTGACCATCTCGTCCAAAAATCTGGTTGTTGGAGTTTCTGCCCTCGACACAACCAATTTTAACGGCAGCACTTTAAGTGCCTTTATAGCCACTAACACAACAGACCCTCAGGTAAATGCCTCTCACGCACATTTGTGAGTGCGTTCCTGCTTAATTTTGTGCATTTTTGGTTCATTTTTGAATATGCATTAGGGATAAATGTTACTTAAGACTTCCTTAAGTGGGCTGCCCAAGCATTTCAGCTGTCTTTTTGCTGCTAAAACATTTTAGATGTAAAGTTTTAAAGTGATTTTCAGCAATTAAAGCAGTGTAATGAGAGGTGACATGTATGGACCGTGCCCACCCATTGATTAAGAGCCAGCAGTTCCTGGAAAGTCTGTGAGAGGAAAAAGAAACATTGTAGAGTCTGAGAGTGACTCAGAAAATGACACATTTTCTCTATCCTCAGTTACTATTGGGATAATGTATATGTTTAAAAGTGTATTTTCTGTATTTTAAATATGATCTCAACACTAAATTGTTGTATTTTCCGATGTTTTTGTATGTATTTAGAAGTTTAAATCAATCGTGAAAAAAAACAATCATCAAGCATTTCAAAGACATGCAGTATAGGTAAACTGAATAAGCTAAATAGTGCATGTGTGTGAATGTGAGTGTATGGGTATTTCCCAGTATTGGGTTGTGGATAGAAGGACATCCACTGCGTAAAACATATGCTGGATAAGTTGACGGTTCATTCCAATGTGGTGACCCCTGATAAAAAAAGGGACTAATAAATATAAAATATGCAAGCACAACAACAGTTTGATTATCACCTGAAGGTTTTTGGGAAGTCTTTTCTTATTATTTCTCCAGGGAAACATAATAATTTTTGCAGCCAGATGCTTTTTCAATCTATTTGTTTTTTTTTTTTTTTTTACCTTGAGGCCTTTTGATTGATTCTGGCAGAGGGCACATTAAGTTCTTCAGTTGCAGTCAACTCTCCTCTCCCTTATTATTTATGTCTGTGTAGCTCTTATAGCTTGGAAAATACACCAAAGAGATGTTATCGTTGTTACAGAAACAGAGTACATCGCTATGTTTGTTACTCATGAACTGCTCCCCCATTCCATGCATGTTCGTTTATTTAACTTTTTTACAAATATTATTATGACGTCAAGTATTGTATTCTCCACAGATTGATTTTGACTCGGAGGCACATAATGCATTGGCTGTGGTCACTCTGCCTCCAACACTGCTGCAAAACCTGAGTCTTTCACAAATTGAGAAAGTGTCCAGAATCAACTTTATGTTCTTCGGCAGGACGGGGCTCTTTCAGGTGAACATAATTTTTTTCTCTCTCTCTCTACTTACTATTTTCTTATATTTTATGGTTAATTTACTTAAAATGGCTGTATGGGTGGTCGAAGAACAAAATCAAATTGACAGTTCTGATTGATATTTTTCGTCAATAGCACTTTGGATCATTGATGGTATGTTAATTAATCTCTGGATGTTTTCTGTTAGTACTGAATAAACTAACTTCCCAGAATGTACTCAACATTAAAATTATGTTAACACAGGCTCTATGTTTACATGGGCTTTAGTAATCTATTTACCTTATTTTGTATAAGACAATATTAGAATAAAGGTTGTTTACATGGCTTGCTTTTACATATTGTAGTACATAGTTCAATTAATGGCACATACTTATGTCCACACACTTCAAAATCGAACAGTGCAACTAATTAAATGAAATGAGTTCCTTAGTAAGTTCATTGTACTTAATATCAACAAGTTACTTGAACTCAAAATTTGATCGTATTAGACGGAACTTAAACGGAATGATTTAACCTAACTATGCAAATTCCTTCCATGCTTTAACTTAAAAGTAAATGTAAAAAAGTAATTATTGTGTATTTTTAACATGATTAACAAAGGGAGACATGATTTAGACTTTAATGTTGTGATATGTTGAAATTTACAGAGGTTTCTGTATAAATATAATTGTAAAACTCTACTAACTCGCATTACAGATCCATTTAAGTCAACAAAACTTAAATGGACTAAGTAAATGACGCTCAGTATAAGTAAGGAATATTTTAATATATTAGTAAGAAATGAACACGTAATACAACGAAGTTAAAATTACTTAATTGAATTAAGTTAATTAATTATTCCTCCGGGTGCTCCGGTGTGCCCGACAGTCTAAAGACATGCGGTACAGGTGAATTGGGTTGACTAAATTGTCCGTAGTGTATGAGTGTGATTGAGTGGGTGTGGATGTTTTCTAGAGATGGGTTGCGGCTGGAAGGGCATCCGCTACGTAAAAAACGTGCTGGATAAGTTGGCGGTTCATTCCGCTGTGGTGACCCCAGATTAATAAAGGGACTAAGACGAAAAGACAATGAATTAATGAATGAATGAAATTAATTATTGATGTATTGAGTGTGTACAATTCAATTAAGTACACTTAATAAACTTATGTTTACAGTGCTTGTTACCTATCAACATGCAGTTTGTTATGGTACCATATCAAGTTTTGGATGTTACATCCTGTTGTAAAATTCGTTGAAAAGTCCCACACATAGGGTGGCCAAGAAAGCTTAACGTGCTGCAATTTAAGAAAACACGTGCAATTACAAAAAATGCCAGCAAATTGAGAAAAGATGTTAATCAGTTTGACAGCACACGTGCTGCAAATCGACAACGCAAACACGTTTTTAAAAAACGGGAGCATTTTCTTGATTAATGTTTGTCGATTTCTACACTGCATTTCAGTAATGGATCTAAAATAGGAAAACTCCACATTTTAATTCCTTTTTTGTTTACTTCTAGTATGACTTAAGCTGGATTAAAGTTATCAGGGATCAGTGTTTACGTGATGGATTCTTGATCAGTCTTAATATTATTCATAGTCTTGTGGTAGTATCGGAATTTTGTTGTCCATGTAAACATACTGCCTATGTAAACATACTGCCCTTTGTGTTGTGCTTTGCATCCCTGTTCTCAGTGTGCCACAACTCATTTATCACTATGGTTACCCTTGTTATTTGCCATAGTAATAATTTATCGGTAACACTTTACAATAACAGTACATGAATAATGATTTGTTAATATGTAAACTAAACATTACTTAAGGATGAACTAATGATAAGTTAATGGATGAGCAAATCATGAACTACCTTTATTTACAACAGGAGCCACATGAGTTCAGATGTGAGTAACAGCTACCTTAATTACTTGTTAGTACATGATTGTTTGTTAATTAATGCATTAATTACCACATTAGTTTATGCTTAATTTAACCAACATGAACTCATGATATGTTAATGTATATTTATATCATGACTTTACTTGGAGGTGCACATCAGCATTAATCCATTCATAACTACTCATGGACTCCTTCTGCATGTTCGCCTAGTGCGTTTACACTGAATAACAGGAGTTCACATGTAGTTAAGGATGAGTTAATAGTGATGTGCCCCTCCAAGTAAAGTCATGACATAATTATACATTAACAACTCATGAGTTCATGTTGGTTACATTTAGCTTAAACGTAAATGTTTATTAATACAGTAATTAGCAACATGTACCAACAAGCAACAAAGGTAACCGTTATTCACACATGCACTCTTGTGACTCATGATGTAGTTAAGGTTAGTTCATGATTAGCGCATGCCTTAAATCATCATTAATTCATAATAAAGTAATGTTATTTACATATTAACACATTATTCATGTACTGTTATTGTAAAAAGTTACCAATTTATCTCCTCCTGCTCATTCCTTTGTTAGCCCTTTTGTATTTAAACATTTATGTTTGATTTGATCATTTTAATACAACATTGTTGCATATAATGCAGCATTTACTTTGGAGCAATGGCTTTTAATCAAGCTTGATTTTTGGCCCTGTCAGAATGGGATTTTAACTACAGCGGCTCGAACTTTAGTTCAGCCGAATGACTAAAAAGTTATCAGTATAATGGTGAAAAACTGCACATTTCTTGTCAAACCATCCATCTGCAATCTTATACCAAATACGCAAATAAGGGCAGTATTAATAGCTAAAAATGTGGGAGAGCGTTGATATTATGTGATTGTGTTGTATTGCAATATGGCGCATTTAAGGGTTGATGTTTAATCTAAAGTAATTCACAAATACTTGAAAAAGAAAACATTAATGACAATAGCTTACAAAATAACTGTATAAAATGATTAAACCTTAAATGATAAAAACATATGATATAAAGTGTACCCAGCTTAAATGTAAAATAAAGTGTGAGAGAGACAGCTGGAGAAAAAGAGACAGAGCAAAGTTTACAGCATATTTTCCATCTTTCTTTACTGTGTGACCAAAGCCTTGTGACCAAATACTGAGGCTGACTAGGGCCAGACAGGATCTGTGGACATTTTTTGCTATTTCTGCTAAAAATTTTGTTAAAAAATCTGCGGATTCGTGTGAAATGATTTTGGGAGTATCATAACTAAAAACTTAATATTTAAAATAAAAAAATAAATAAAATAATAATTTTTTTAAATGTTTACAATGCAAATCCAATTAGATCCACTTCATTTGGTAAACAAAGCAAGTCTCTCATAATATATCTACTAAAAGGCAGAAAATCTTACTCTACAAACTCTGTTGTAAATAAATCATATGAACATTTTAATATTAGTCAATAATTATACTGAAATTAATTTAAAAGCTAATAAATATAAATTTACACACATTTACTCAAGTAAATAAACAGAATCAATGATGGGCTAAAAATCTTCAGAAAGCTACTGAATTCTGCATGCGCAGATTTCGTGTGGGCATAGACATGACCTGTGAAACTGACCAATCAATATGTGACCACATCGTAAAACCCTTTTAAGTCCACACACATTAACCAGCCCCTGATCTTATCAGAATCTGTCTTTGGAACCTGTATGGACCTTCTTGATAAAAAATGCATGTTTTGCCAAAAAAACAAATGCATTTAATAATTTACCTTCCTTCAGCCTTTTTTTATATATATATATATATATATATATATATATATATATATATATATATATATATATATATATATATATATATATATATATATAACACATATAAGATCACCTCTGCTCATCAAAAAAAAAAAAAAATTGCTACAGTATTTTTCATTAATAATAGAAAAAAAGTTTCCATCTTCCAGACTTTTGAATGGTGTGTCATTAATTTGATTAACATATGTATCTAATTATATGTTCTTTACCCAAAAGCACAATTTTTTATACCGCTAACAAAAGTGATATCATCTGCCCACACTTACAAAAATGACAGATTTATACAAAACAAAAAGATTGAGGAATCATTTTACATGTGTCTTACTCAACCTAAAACACAAGTGGGTTTGTCTTGACACTGTTTAATTTCTTTTTAGGATCATCAAAACAATGGCTTGACGTTAAACAGCTATGTGGTGGCCAGCAGTGTTGGCAACTTCACCATCAAAAACCTGCAGGATCCTGTCAGGATAGAGATTGCACATTTGGAGTATCAGGTATTCATATTCTGTCAGTAAAGGTACAGATTCTTTATTTAGCTTGATGATTCCATGAGGATCACCAATAGAGCATCTTTTCATTCCACAAAATGTATTTTATAAAGAAAAATGTTCTTTAAAAATGTAAAGCATTTAAAAACTGTACAAAAAACCTGTTTGGTGTGTTCCGATACCTTTATTTTTCAGATTGTGCACAGTTCTATCAATATTAAATCATCTCTGTAGTAAGCTGTACTTAGTACAGCGAAATTAGTGCAATCATTAAAGTGCAAAAACAAAAATAAATAGGATAAAATATTGCTTCAATTATAGTGAGTTTTTATACGCATAAGAATATAATTACAAATTTGTACAAAATTAATGAAGTATTGATATAATACTACACAGTGATTGAATATGAAGAGAAAGTGTTAAATGCAGTATTGCACAAAATATGGATGTGTTAAAGTGTCAAGGTCTGTTAAAAAAATCACCTTTCAAAGTTTAAACTGAAGAGTTTTGACAGAAAGCGGTACATTTTAATTATAGTAAATAATCATTTGATCAAGTTTGACTTTCTCATCAATGGAATTTTAAAGCAGACATTTTTAATAAATGATTTGTCCACGCTAATTACAAAAGTTCTACAAAATATCTAACACATCTTAATGTATCTGTCTCTCCAGAAAGATCCGAATCCTCAGTGTGTGTTTTGGGATTTCAACCTCCAAAGTAAGAGAAAGAGAAATGATATATGTAGCATTAAAACAGTCCCATAGGGGGCTGTGCATGCAGGCTTTCAGTAATCATGTAATATCTATTGGTCTCCATTAGATTACTCAGGGGGCTGGAATAGCGATGGCTGCAAGGTCGGTTCAGACTCCAACAGCAACAGGACCGTCTGCTTGTGTAATCACCTCACACACTTTGGCATCCTAATGGTGAGATTTGTGGGATTGGCAGCAGAATGACCCAACAGCGGTTTCATGCGTTAAGTCAATATGCCAGGCTGAAGCAATGTCAGTGTGTGTCTTAAGCTATATGTCAACTATGTCTGAAACAGACAGGGTCAATACTTAGGGGCTTCGCTATAAAATAATGTAGAACTGAAGTTATCAAGACACTTATACATTATTTTGCTGGAAAAGTTGCACCGGGCCAAACTTCAATAATGGGAATAAACACGGGTTAGACATAAACATGGATAAGCTTTACTGTGTAGGCCTATAATATAAGTCACATTTGATCATTTACTTCAGAAATAATGTGAAATCGTCTCTATAATAGATCTACACTCACCGGGCACTTTATTAGGTTCACCTTACTAAGGTGCATCCTGTTTGGATCCCTTTTGCCTTCAGGACTGCCTTAATCCATCAAGATTTTGGTTCATATTGACATGAGAGCATGTCAATATGGTCATGGTCATGCAATATGGTCATGCAGTTGCTGCAGATTTGATAGGTGCACATCCATGATGCGAATCTCCCGTTCTACCACATCCCAAAGGTGCTCTATTGGATTGAGATATGGTGACTGTTGAGGCCATTTGAGTACAGTGGACTAATTGTCATGTTCAAGAAACCAGTCTGAGATGATTTTTGCCTTATCACATGGCGAGTTATCCTGCTGGAAGTAGCCATCAGATGAAGGGGCACACTGTGGGATGGACATGGTCAGCAACAATACTCCGGTAGGCTGGGGCGTTAACACGATGCTCAATTGGTACAAATAGGCCCAAGGTGTGCCAAGAAAACATCCCCCACACCATTACACCACCACCACTAGCCTGAACCATTGATACAAGGCAGGATGGATCCATGCTTTTATGTAGATGATGCCAAATTCTGACCCTGCCATCTGAATATCGCAGCAGAATTTGAGACTCATCAGACCAGGCAATGTTTTTTCAATATTCTATTGTCCAATTTTGGTGAGCCTATGCAAATTGTAGCCTCAGTTTCCTGTTCTTAGGTGACAGGAGTGGCACCTGGTGTGGTCTTCTGCTGTTGTAGCTCGTCTACCTCAAAATTCAACATGTTGTGTGTTCAGAGATGCTCTTCTACATACCTCGGTTGTAACAAGTGGTTATTTGAGTTACTGTTGCCTTTTTATCAGCTGGAACCAGTCTGGCCATTTTTCTTTGACCTCTGGCATCAACAAGACATTTACGCCCACAGAACTGCTACTCACTGGATATTTTCTCTTTTTCTGACTATTCTCTGTAAACACTAAATGATTGTGCGTGAAAATCCCAGTAGATCTGTTAGTTTTTGAAATACTCAGACTAGCCCTACTGGCACCAGCAATCGTGCCACGTTCAAAGTCACTTAAATCAACTTTCTTCCCCTTTCTGATGCTCAGTTTGAACTGCAGCAGATCTTCTTGACCATGTCAACATGCCTAAATGCATTGAGTTGCTGCCATGTCATTGGCTGATTAGAAAATTTCATTAACGAGCAGTAGGACGGGTGTACCTAATAAAGTGGCCGGTGAGTGTATATAGTATGAGTAACAGCAGTAAGTCTAAAACAAACAAATTACCATGGCAATTTATTGTAGAGATCAAGCAAAACAAAAAAATAACAGCATGTGAACTGCACTATACAGATAACATCTGTCTTTTATTCAAGAATCCAAATGTATGCATACTTTGCGAATGTTTTGCTTGCCTGAGGTTGATTGCAATGTAAAAAATTGTTTAATCTAGTTTCAAAACATGATTTCTACTTCATGTTCATGTTCCGGTAAGGGTAAATGTGCACTTGTTTTATTTTGTGCTACTTTATATTGCAGTGTGATTTATAGTATAAATAACTAATGATATTATGGAATATGTTTTTTTATTCATAGGTGGTCATAATATAGCAGGAAATTTTTTTTTATTTGGTTAGATGTACTATTAATGACATTGTGCAAAATCTGTGTGTGTGTGTGTGAGCGTGCGTGCGTGCGTGCGTGGGGTTAGAATTTGAAGTCAGAATTATTAGCCCCCCTGAATTATTACCCCCCCCCACCCCGTTTATTTTTTTTCCCAGTTTTCTGTTTAATAGAGAGCAGATTTCTTCAACACATTTCTAAACATAATAGTTTTAATAACTTATCTGTAATAACTGATTTATTTTATCTTTCCCATGATGACAGTACATAATATTTTACTACGTATTTTTCAAGACACTTCTACACAGCTTATTATTGAGTGCAAAGTATTAACAGTAGTCTAGTATTACGTAGTAGTATTAACAGAGTGCAGTAGTCATACTGCTGTATTCATATATCAATGAACACAAAGCTTCCATGATGAAAGAAGTTACTAGTAAGTGTTAAAACTACTGTAGATGCTCATATAAGTAATACGATAGACACACCGTTTTTTTACATGGATTTTTAGCATATAAATAATCAGAGGACATGATATTTTGATTTCAGATTAAACCATTTTAAAATCGTACATTTTTGTCATCTTATAGTCATAGTAGATTTATAGTAAATTTTAGTGTGCAAAAATGGTCACAGAGATCAGAGAAACTCCTTAATTTGATAATTAGTAACTTTAACAGAGACAACGATTGCAGCAGCTTCGTTTGAATAAAAAAAGGAATAAATCATTCTAAATAATACTTATAATATTGTTTTATTAGTTCATCTCACGTAAAGTGTAGAGTGCTGACTTCACTTACTTGAGCTGGCGTTATCAGCTTTTATCAAGGGATATCAAAACCCTACTGACTGACCGATGAGAATGAACTATTCAGAGAGTGTGTAATAAATACTACTAAAGCAGTCTGATAAACGGCATTATTAGATAAGTCTTGCTTTTGTGTTTTAGGATGTCTCTAGAGCTGCTGAGTTGATAGATGAGAAGAACAACAGGGTACTTACCTTTATTACCTACATCGGCTGTGGGATCTCGGCCATTTTTTCAGCGGCAACACTGCTCACGTACATCGCTTTTGAGTGAGTGTCTTTCAGCATTTTTCTGAGTAAAACAGACAAAAAAATGTAAAGAAACTAAAAAATCTATTAATTACATTCAGTGCCGACCTGTAGAGTTGTGGCACCCTAAGCGAGATTATAAAAATTGGGCCCAATTGTCTAAAAACAGTGAGGAGAAAGCCCAAAAAAGACTATTCCAGTATTGAAGTGTGTAAATGTGTAACTGTAACATAACTGTAACATATTCAACTTTTTTGTCATATTTACACAAACAATTTCACAAGTACTACTGCAATGCATTGTAAAGTATTGCAATTGAGAGTGGATGTTGGATGTATTAAAAAATAGATATACGTTAATCACAAAAACATAAATATTATATTTGTAAAAGTTACATTAAATAACACATTGCACATTCATAACCTACTATATATTTGGGTTGATTTCATTTAAAATTCAATGTGCATGGCTTAGATATGAAATTAGATATATAATCTACACAAGATTAATTGTTAATCAGCTTTAACAAAGAGATCAGATCCAGGTCTGAGAAGCCAATTTAAGTTTAAAATCTCCTCAGAATCTTAAAATGATTTATTTTTCATATTTTGCGGGTTTTCTCTTCTGCCGTTTACTCCATCTGTCTGTCATAGGTGACATCACTGGCCCATTTCGCTGAGTGGTATGGTACGGGTCACCTTTATCAGGCTTGCTTTTCCACTGCCAAAAGGGTACCAATGAAATGGTGTACGACAGAATGTTTCAGTCGATGTCATTCTCTCCACGGAGGAAATGCTAAAGTAAAACTGTACAGGTCGTTCACAAATATGAGAAGCACTTTTCACAAAATATAGGCTTTATACACATAAATACTTGTGTAGAAATTTTCTTTATTAACCTTTCTAGTAACATGATTTGATTACATTGATTGCAGATCAATGATAAATAGCAAAAACTACTGTAACCTCTGCAATTTTGTAAAATAAATAAATAAATTCAACATATATGAACACATACAGCCCCTTACAGTCTCAGATATGTTACCAATTACAGAAAAACTACACACAGTATACATTTAGTCCTTATTTGGGTTCAAAAACAACATGCAATACATAGCCTACAGTCAGTGCTAACCTCTCATCTGTATCATTAATCTTCACCAGCACATGTAACCTGTGTTATAAAGTAATTCCGTCATTCCGAGTTCATGATAGTTAAACATAGCAGTTTGTTCATGTTTAAGGTTACTGAAAGTATCATTTGTTCTTTTGTTTTTTCTTGCTTCACTCACGTTTGTCCGTTTCTGAATGGATCGGATATCAGAAGCACTTTAATAATTACACACACATTATTATCATCAGCTCAAGAACAACAACAAAAACAACAGGACACATGGCAGGGTGTGTTCTTCTTGTATTTGTGGCTGTTCATCAAGATGACAACAAAGTTTGTTTGAGCTCAAGGCGACCTTGGCTCGTTATTATAGGTATATAGTATTACGATGTATTGTCTCGGCTGTGTATTTAAAAATGATTCTTCCTTTGCTTTTATTCTTCTAGCTTGTGTAGGCGCTGATTTCTCTGTAAACCAATAGCGTTCAGCTGCACATCTAGCTCTGCCTTTTGGTACCCTTTTGTTGTGCTAGGTACCCTTTGGAAAGGGTACCCAAAAAGTGGAACGGTTTGCTTTTAGGTACATTTTGACAGTGTAAACTGTCATAAAAGCGTACCAACCCATATCGTACAACTTAGTGGAAATGAGCCACAAGTAACCTTTTAATGCATTATTAATAAAGGGGTCAGCACAGGGGGAGATTTAAGACACGAGGGGGATTTAAGCGGTACTTGGCAAGATGTGGAAGCAAAATGGTTTGTAAAAGTACTTCAGTAAAAAGTGAAATGTTTTATAAGAACGCAAGAACAGATAAGAACGTATACTGAGATTCAGTCACAATAAATATGTTGAGGTGTCCATGGGGCCCTTCATGAAGGGGGGACCCCAGCGACCACCCGTATTGCCTGTTGGATGGGCCGGCACTGATTACAATAACTTACTCTTACTAACCCACTGGGGAAAACACATTGAAGTCTTGCTCAATGCTTTCCAAGAATCGCTTTTCTGACACTCTTCAGTTCTGCTTACTCAGGATTCCCAGATTGTGTTTTCAGCATACAACCTTACTCTTTAAGCTATAGTTATTTACCATAAAAAACACATTGTTGCTATTTTTTATAGTCGTGATTTGTAAGATGTATTGTAAAGAAATCTATATTTCGATTCTGCGAGTAAGTATTCATGTGATAAGGAATGAAGACTTTAAATTGTTTTTTTTTAAATAAATGTTGTCCTTTTAAAAATATATTTTCACAGAATCCTGATATATATTTTAAAAGTAAAATCTTTTTGAATATCTATTATCACTAAATCCTAAAAAAAGCTAATTAAATAAAAATGTTAACCTTTAAAACAGTATACTTGCAAAATACAAGCCTCAAACTTTGAAACAATGCTGTACATGGCAATCACTCCAATATAATTGCAAGCTCATTGTTTTCTTTGACATAAATCTGTAGGAAGCTGCGGCGAGATTATCCCTCCAAGATCTTGATGAATCTCAGCACATCACTGCTCTTCCTCAACATGGTGTTTCTTCTGGACGGCTGGTTAGCCTCTTATGAAATTAAAGAACTGTGTGTGACCGTGGCTGTGTTTCTGCACTTTTTCCTTCTCACTTCCTTCACCTGGATGGGTTTAGAGTCCATCCACATGTACATTGCCCTGGTCAAGGTCTTCAACACATACATTCGGAGATACATCCTCAAGTTTTGCATCGTGGGATGGGGTAAATACCACACTATGTGTTTTGTTTATATGTTTCTTTGTTCTACGATTCAATTTGGTGAGCATTTTCCATGAAGGAGTCGCTGAACAAAGTAGTTAGAAGATCTGGTTGTTTTTCAGGTGTCCCTGCTACAATTGTTGCAATTGTGTTGGCTGTGAGCAAAGATTCGTATGGGAAAAATTACTATGGAAAAGGAAAGGATGGGCAGGGAACATCGGAATTGTAAGTATTGCTCATGAAGTTCAAACTGACCATTCGCAGAACGTTAAATGTTCTCTGAGGTTCAGTTATGTAATGTTTTTAACATGGAAAAAATTCTGACAAGAAAAATCAGACTGTGTGTTCAATTACCTTAAAGAGAAGGATTTGAATTTTGAAACTTATAATACAATGACTTTGGTAACACCTAGTTACACACAGTCACAACTATTACACGGTCACAGTATTAACAAACCATTAACCTACACTACTAGGTTAATAAACTGTTAATTAACTGTTTATTAATAGTTAGTAAGTTGGGTACGGTTTTGGGTAGGATAAGGATGCAGTATTACAAACTATATGACTCTGGACAGCCTGACACATAAACAAGAGCTCACACAATCAATTAAATAATTCAAAAAATGAAAATTGATTAAAGAAATTTAATAATTATATACCCCTTCAGACCCGAATTATGCTCCAAGTTTCCATTTTCACTGTTCTTGGGGCTCCTATAAATGAGAAATAATTATAATAATAAGTATTCAACACCCTTTAAGTCATAAGTATCAAAGTTATATACTGGAGGACCACATGTCTACACAGTTTTGCTCCAACCCTATTCTAACACAGCTAATCCAACTGATAAAGGTGTTTAAGAGTAGTCTTAAACACCTTGATTAGTTGGATCAGGTGTGTCTGATTAGGGTTGGAGCAAAACTGTGCAGAGCTGCGGCCCTTCAGGGCTTGAGTTTAAGGGTGCTTTTACACTCCTTGCCACCTTCTTGGTTGGTTTATGTTCATACTGTCTTTTTTCCTTCTGAACCTTGGTACGCTTGCGTCATCCAGCTGCTGTTGTGTGTACAGCTGTTGCTAGGTGACAGACACGAATGCAAATCTCTAAAATGGAAATATAAACATAAATCGCAGTCGTTCTGCTTTTACTGAATCCTTTGGTTTTGGACATACAGAAACGGCTTGCGTCCATCTGCCGCAAAAATATTTTAAACGTTCAGTACATCACGCGATGTCTGCAGAAGCTGTTTTTGGAGGAGACAAGCAGACATTATCACTGTGATTGCCCTGGCTCAGTGCCGCTTATCACCAAGGTACAGTACGTGATACACAGACACACGCTATGAAAAAGATATTTGGTTGTACAGTCGGCGGGTTGCTTTTAATATTTTGTACAATTGCATACTAGCTAAAGTACCATACTCTGACGTCAAGCGAACCCAGGTCCGGACCAAAAGTGCTAGTGTGAAAGCACTCTAAGTATGTATGCTTTAAGTAAATATATATTTTTGTCCATTTCAATGTACATCAGGTCAGAACAGTTATACTTCCCGAATATTATACCAACTTAACCCCTTCAGACCTGAATTATGTTCTAAATTTCAGAAAAATGGGATGTCATGTGATGTCCATTGTAATGGATGCAGCGTCTGAAGGGGACAAAATACAAAAAAAAAGCATAGATGATTTCCCACCAAAACCACAAAAGTTAACATTATGATATTTTACTTTAATTTGAGGTTTTCGTTGTATAGATTGCATCTTGTTTATAAAAAATTGCATCTTCCACATCTGGGATATTTCCATCTGCTATATGCTCAAGAACTTCAAGATCTGTATATTCTGCATATGAAATTGTTTCAGCGATGAACTAGTACATCAATATAGTCTTTTTTATCTTAAAAATGTTAATTACTGGAGTTTTAATTTCAGTAAAATATCTTGAACCCATTGTCCATCCTAATGGACAGACGTACAGTATTTGAAAAAATCCTGATCTAAAGCAATGTTACAAAAGATTTTAAACATAAAGTAAATGCAATCCCTCTTTTTTATACAATCTATGAAATATTGATATGAATAAATCAGGATAAAAAATGTTGTAAATGTGGCTTATGTTTGTGTCTGGAGTGAAGTGATTCCATGCTGCTTTTCAGTGTAGCGGATTTTTTTTTTTTTTATTACAACATGCAAGGCTTACCACCATTAGATGAAATGCTCAGGAACCACAAAAAAATAATTAACAAATTTAAAATAAATAATCTTTCAAAAAACTAAAAGGTCTGCTGATGGAGGAAGACCGATCAAGCAGCCTAAGAAGCAAGCTCTCCCATGGAACAAAAGAGTGATCCTTTTATGATGTACTCATCATCACCAACAACGCGACTCGGTTGTAAAGCACTACAACTCTCCAAACAAGTGCGCCATCTAGTGGGTGGCCCAGCACCACCAAAAGATAAAAACACAACAAGTTAAATCTTTATAATAGGCAGGTAATAAAACAGTAGTTAATAACATGAATTGTGACTTAAATTAAAGTGTTTCCATGTACTCTTATGTCAAAAGGTCAAGCTATTTTTTTATTTCACAGTCAATTACTTTGTTATTGCAACAAATGTGTAGTATTTTCAATTCTGAATTTCCTTTATGTTTTTAATTATGTTTTACTGCATTATTCTCATTCTGTTGGTATTTCTGGTCTTTATTTCTGCAGTTGCTGGATTCTCAACCCAGTGGTGTTCTACGTGACGTGTGTGGCCTACTTCTCCATAATCTTCCTGATGAATGTTGCCATGTTCATTGTGGTAATGATCCAAATCTGTGGACGTAACGGCAAGCGCAGCAACCGGACACTGCGAGAGGATATCTTGCGTAACCTGCGCAGCGTGGTCAGCCTGACGTTCCTGTTGGGTATGACCTGGGGCTTTGCGTTTTTCGCCTGGGGTCCAGTCAGTCTGGCCTTCATGTACCTCTTCACAATTTTCAACTCACTGCAGGGTTGGTACACCGTCTTTATACTATACTTCTTGTTAATGAAAAGACACCATAGAATCACTTTATGAGTACAGTGAAAACAAATATATTTCATTTATTTCTCAGTGAAGGTGTTTTTTGTTATCCATTTCTCAGTGAAATATTTGTAGTGCATTTGAATTGCACTTTGAAATCCTCTTTTTTATTTTAATTATTTAATGAAGTATTTTAAACGTTACTAAATGTTTACTGTGTTTTTAGCACTGAATACAGTGTTTGTCAATTGTAACCACAAGATAAAAGCTTTACCTACATTTTTAACATAATACAGGTTAGTAAATGCATACTATTAAGTGAATCTATACTAAAACATTTTAAAAACATACATGCATGCATACATGCATACACACATACATACACACATGCATACATACATACATACATACATACATACATACATACATACATACATACAGTGCTCATCATAAATCAGTACACACCATTTTGAAAACAAATTTTTTGTTATCCATTTCTAGATGAAAGTAATATTTGTGGTGCATTTGAACAAAACAGATTCATTAAAAATAGATATTTATTAAAACAATGTTTTTGTCACTGAACATATTTAGAAATAGATAAACAATCCAAAAATTCAAGCTAAATATTGAGTAAAAAAATTACAAATTACAAAATTTCAATTAAAATGATCAAAATGTATATATTTTTAGTTTCTCTTGATGTTTTCTATTTTTTATTTCATTTAATAGTTAAGTATATATTCATATTTATATAATATATATTATTAATAAAATTTATTTATTTATTTATTTATTTATTCATTCATTTATTTATTGGAGTGCGATTGAAACATAAAACAATGAAGTTTTTTAAATGTTACTAAATGTTTACTTTGTTTTTAACACTGAATAATTGCAATGAGTTCATTGTAACCACAAGATAAAAGCTGTACCTACATTTTTAACATAATACAAGTTAGTAAATGCATACTTTTAAGAGTGAATCTGTTCTAAAACATGTTAAAAACACAGATCTATCGTGTTGATTTCATGAGTTTTTGACTTCTATTTAATTTTTGGTTAATTTAACTATTTTTAAACATACATTACATACATAGTTTTTAAATGTCATGCTTTCGTGTGTTTACAAACTTTCTACAACAAAATTCAGCTATTCCTTTCTCATTTAATAATAATTTGCCGAAACCCGGGATCGAACCAGGGACCTTTAGATCTTCAGTCTAACGCTCTCCCAACTGAGCTATTTCGGCGTGATGACTGTAGAGGGTAAAAACGTGTTTTTCCACTAGAGGTCGCTTTGGATTGACTGATAGAGTTGTTAGCGGTGTAACATTCGAGCATTGAAAATAGCCTGTGGGTTTATGTTCATTAAGAATTAAGAAGTATTATTCGTTTGTTTCAACAGGATTATTCATATTTGTGTTCCACTGTGCCCTGAAAGAAAACGTACAGAAACAATGGAGGAGATATTTGTGCTGTGGAAAGTTACGCTTGGCAGATAATTCAGGTAAATCTAGTTGTTGTTGGGTTTTAATTTGGTCTTAACTGATTGTATTGTATTCTATATTACTATTTTTTTCTTGAATTTTGTTAATGAGCATATGTCAGAGCTGTTTAAAGAGATTAAGCACTTTTCATGATGACTTTTATTTAAATGGATCTGTTCAAATTAGCTATTTGAATGCAGAACATTTCAATTCCAATGTTGTATTTGTGTATATACTTTTTTTTCAACTTTTTTTTATTATATTACAAAACCCAGCAAACAATACAGAATATTAACTTATAAAATTTTAGATTGTACTTTCCCACACTAACATTTGTTAGACAGAAATAACATTTAAAATAAATAATAATTATTATTAATAAAATAAAATACTATACTATACTATAAAAAACATTTAGATTGACCAATGTGTGTCCATAGATAATAATAATAATAATGATAATAATAATAATAATAATAATAATAATAATAATAATAATAATTATTATTATTATTATTATTATAAACATTATTATTTTGAATTTTTAATTACAGTCATCTTCCCAAAGACATTTATTGTATATGCATTTAATATTATCATTTTTAAACTTGCATCCTTTCTTAGTGATTTTGTTTCTCATATGTTTATTGTTTTAGGTGCTGAATTCTTCAGACCTTTAGTTGCGCTCAGAATGTGTTTCAGTAAAGCCTGGATTTGAAGACTTTCTTTTGCCTTAAGTATCACAGAATTACTGTTACTAAAATGTAGGGCCAGAGGAGACTTAGCTGTACTTTTACATCCAATTAAACCAGGAATGAAAAATTGTCAGCAGTGCTTTTTATTGAATGCCAGGACCTCATAACTTTCTCTTTTACAAAGTTATCTGTCCTGTATTCCCGATGATGGAATTGCTGTATATTATCTAATATTCCTGGATTTTCTTGTGCCGTATCTTAATGCATGGGATACACCTGTGTGATGAAAGCTGGCTGGTAGTCATAGATAACATTTAACCATGTTTTGCAGACTGGAGCAAGACTGCCACTAATAATACAAAGAAAGTGAGTTCTGATAACCTGGGAAAGTCCCTCTCCTCCAGTTCCTTTGGCTCCACTACAGCCAACTGGACGTCCAAAGCCAAAGCCACACTAAATCCATTTGCCAGGCACAGTAATGCAGGTAAGCGTAAAGGTAATGATGTGAACTGTTAGGGTTAGATTATTCGGCTTTCATTAATCCTATGATGCATGAATTAGTCAATTTAAAAAGAGTAACAAATGTTATCATTAATTTAAAATGAGAATGCTTTTGTATACTTTAAAATGAAATATTTTGCACACCGCACACTAATGTTTGATTTATATAGTTTTGCCAGATAAAACAAACATTTTCTAGCCCAAAAGCTGTCCAAAACCCACCAAAAACCACCAAAAATGCCCAAAATATTATTAATTTATTTATTTTTGAATGATTTAAATTTAAATTACTCTAGTTACTTTAACTGTCATTATTTTTAACCATACAGCAATCAACAGCAGCAGTCACAGGCCCACAACATAAGCGGATCACATTGAAATACTGCCCCCCTCTCACCCACAAACTAAACTTAATGTTGTGTAGATTATTATTAGAGTATGTTTTACTTTCGAAATGGGGTATAAATTTATCTTATTTGGCGTTTTAAATTCCTTTGAACATTATTAGGTGCTGCTTGTCAATCAGTCAATGCTTTGATATTGCTCTTGCTGTCATTTGAGAGAAAAAATTATCGCAAAAAGTTTCATGACAAACCGCTGCGAGTTTAATGCACTGGTCACTACTAACTGAAAGGAGTAGGAGCACACAGTTGGGTTTTGTTAAATAAGTTGCATATGAAATTTATGTTTCAACCACCCAAATTTTATCATCCCGCCAATGGTAATTTTTTACCCGCACAATCAAATTCAAAACAGCCCAATTAGGCTGGAAACCTCCCAATCTGGCAACACTGAATTTATAATTGATTATATATATATATATATATATATATATATAGTGTGTACTATCATGGATTTAAAAAATCTTTTAAATATTTAAATATTTGCATATTTTGTTCTAAAGGTGATACATGTTTTACGGATCTTTTGCACAGAATTGTTCCAAAGTTTGGTTTAATTTTTAATTCCTTTTGGATTTAAATAATGTTTATTCAGCAATAATTGAACTTTATTACAAGTGTTAGTAATAATAAGAAATGTGTATTGAAAATGGTGCCTTAGGTAGAGAAATATTACAAAACTAATATTGTATTATTATTAATTCTGAATTAAGTTATTTTTAATATAATTACTTTCAAAATATTGCTGTTTTAACTTTTAATTCAGATTATTCTCTTTAAACTTTTTGTTTTACCAACCCTAAATTGGTACATATTAGTATATACACTCACTGGTCACTTTCTTACGTACACCTTACTAGTACAAGGTTGGACCCTCTTTTGCTTTCAGAACTGCCTTAATCCTTCATGGCATAGATTCAACAAGGTACTGGAAATATTCCTCAGAGATTTTGGTCTATATTGACATAATAGCATTACACAGTTGCTGCAGATTTGTTGGCTGCACATCCATGATGCGAATCTCCTGTTCCACCACATCCCAAAGGCGCTCTATTGGATTGTGATCTTGTAACTGTGGAGGCCATTTAAGTACAGTAAATACATTGTCATGTACAAGAAACCAGACTGAGATTATTTAGCTTTACAACATGGCACAATGTCATGCTGGAAGTTGCCAACAGAAGAGGTTTACACTGTGGTCATAAATGGATGGACATGGCAGCAACAATACTCAGGTAGGCTGTGATGTTGACACGACTGGTCTCAACTGGTAGCAATGGAGCCACAGTGTGCCAAGAAAATATCCCCCACACCAGTGTTACAGTGTTCTTCCCTATTCTGATGCTCAGTTTAAACCGCAGCAGAATGTCTTGACCATGTCTACATGCCTAAATGCATTGAGTTACTGCCATGTGCCTTCTTATCTGAACATGCAGCTCAACTCCTTGTTCAAGCTCTTGTTCTCTCCAAACTGGATTACTGCAACTCTCTACTAGCTGGGCTTCCAGCTAACTCTGTCAAGCCTCTTCAACTGCTCCAGAAAGCAGCAGCACGAGTGGTCTTCAATGAACCTAAACGAGCACATGTCACTCCGCTGCTAGTCCGTTTGCACTGGCTGCCAGTTGCTGCTCGCATTAAATTCAAAGCTCTGATGTTTGCCTACAAAGTGACTTCTGGCCTTGCTCCTTCTTATCTGCTCTCACTTCTGCAGATCTATGTGCCCTCCAGAAACTTGCGTTCTGTGAATGAATGTCACCTCGTGGTTCCATCCCAAAGAGGGAAGAAATCACTTTCACGAACGCTCATGCTCAATCTGCCCAGTTGGTGGAATGAACTCCCTAACTGCATCAGAACAGCAGAGTCACTCGCTATTTTCAAGAAACGACTAAAAACTCAATTATTTAGTCTCCACTTCACATCCTAATCTGCAATTGCCTCTCTGAATATCACACTAACTGTACCCAAAAAAAAACAAAAAAAAAACTAATACTTCCCCTCTTAGACTTTACAGACCTGAAACTTGCCTACAAGCACTTATTCATTGTTTCTCTTAGTTGTGTAAATTGCTTCCTTGTCCTCATTTGTAAGTCGCTTTGGATAAACGCGTCTGCTAAATGACTAAATGTAAATGTAAAAAAATGTGATTTTCTGATTAGAATTTTGCATTAACAAGCAGTTAGACAGGTGTACCTAATAAAGTGGCCGGTGAGTGTATGGAGAACTACATATTTTCTTTTTTCCATTGGTCATATGTACCAAACCTTGCTCGCTAAAGGCTTAAGATTAAAAGTTTTATTTGGTACCAGAAATAGTGCTTGAAAGCTTTCATTAGCATGCTCTCAGTCATACATTGCTTTTATGTGTAATGCTTGCCTATTTTTAGTAATGGTATTGCCCTTCATGCCTTGTCTTACTTTGTGCTTTGCTGTACTGTGTTACTTGTTGTGTGACTGTACGCCTGGACTCAGTGGTGCTGTGTGTCTGTATTTATGTTTGTGGTATAGATAGTACCCTGCAATAATGCCATGGAGAGACTTCCTGAGGTAAAACCACACAAGCCAGCTTGAGTTTACACTGCTTTCCTCTATTCATGTGATCAGCTTCCCCTGTTGGGAGAGACTGAATTCAATCCAGCGGCCCTAGGCTTAATACCTATTCTAACTCCTAACATATGAATGCTTTTTTTGCCCCCCCCCCAAAAATTCATTAGGTGTCTGTTGTGATGGAATAGTTGCCTGTTGGATTGAATCCAAGCTGTGGAGTGACATTCAAGAACAAGAAAACACACTGTTGCTGGTTATCATTGTCAGAACTATCTGCTTGTTCAAGGGTTAGTTCACTCAAAAATAAAAAACTGTATCGTTAATTACTCACCCAAACCCCTCAAACCTTTTTTTTTTTTTTTGTCTTTGGGACACACATTAAGATATTTTATAGGAAACCCAAGAGCTCCATAGACTGCAACAAAATACCAGAATAACATCCTTAAAAACAAACTACTGGTATATGCCTTAAGTTGTTCAATTAGAATATTATGAAGTTAAAATAATACTTTTGTACACTCATAAGACAAATGCAATGACCTCATTCAATAATTTACTTTGTTTTCATCAGAGCGCAGTTCTCTTTATGCATGTCACACTGCTGACATATTAGCTCCGATGCTTTGTTTCAAACAGGAAGTCATGTGCGGGCATCTGGAGAATACATCAGTGCACCTCGCTCTTGTAAATGTGCTCCCTATACTGACACTAAAGAGAAGAGATTGTTGAATTAAGGTGTTATTTCTGTTTTATGTGCGTACAAAAGTATTCTTGTAGCGTCTTAATATTATAATTAAATGGCTGAAAGAATTGCTGTGTCTCAATTCACCTACTTATACCACATCCTAAGTATTTTTTGTGAAGCATATGCAAGCTTTGGGACATACTGCTACCTTGTTAACCATTGTTGGGGAACGTTACTTAGTTATTCATTACGATATTGAGTTACTCCCCAAAAAAGTAACTACAGTTGCGTTACTTAGTTTCTTTGTATGGCAAGCAATTTGTTACGTTACTACTGAGGTACTTTTGAGTTACTTTTTCATACCTGCCTGAGGCTTGATCTCTTTTAGATCTTGCAGGGTATTTTTATTTTTTTTTAAATAGGGAAGCTAAAAAATTATTTCTGAAAACAAGACAATATGTTTTGCTTGCCTAGAAAATGCTTCTTGATATAATGATTTTTAGATATTTGTACTAGAAAGAAGACAAAAATCTAAGAAAGAAAATAAGTTTTTGCAGTGTACCAAAGCCTTTCTTGACGATTAGTCTCGCATGATTGCTATCTTCGTAGTTTGTTAACAATTTTACCCACATTTGTTGTTCTAATCGAATTCATGTCCACTGTGCAATGTGTTGTGGAAAGTTTTAGCAGTTGGAGGATAGACAGTTCTTGGAAGCACTTGGAATTTCTACCAGAAGTAGTAGACCATCCGGTATCCTTTGGCATACTGTAGTTATTTCAACATACTATGTTTTGGGACATAACAAATGGTATTTCCGAATACTATTTAGGACAGATAGTTTGAGAATTGGGATACAGCAAATGTTTTTAGTACCTTTCTTGGACTTTGAACAAGTTAGGATTGTTGCTCTCTTGGGGATAAGGGAGCTCTTGGTTTTCATCCAAAATATCTTAATTCTGTGCCAAAGATGAATGAAGATCTCAGGGTATGAACGACATAATGGTGAGTAATTCTGTTTTGGGTTAACGATCCCTATAAGTTTTAATGTATCCCACCAAGCAATTTTTTTTTCTTTTAATAGACATTTAAGCAGAGACATCTTAGCTAAATCAAGGCTAAATTTGGGCTGTGAGTGAAATTCTGATAGATGTTTACTGTAACAATAGTCCAAAATGAAACTAGTCATCAAATAGAAAGACTAAGAGACTTCACGTATGTAGTCATACATTTCTTTCTTTTTGATGACTAGTTTAACAACACTGTAAAACCCAACAGTCAACTTTATCAAATGAAATGAGTGTAGTTCAATCAAAATTTATTAAAAGACAATTCTACTCATTTGAAAAGAGTTTTAAACTCAGTGTTGAAGGTAATGAGTTCATTGAATACCTCATTACTTCAATGGAAATATAGTAAGTTTACAGTATTCATATAGATTAGTTTTTTTAACGCAAATGGTTTGTTTCAATCAGTTTCTTCAAACGGTTTGAGTTGCCTTAACTCATTGGGTTTTACAGTACTTAGTTGGTTTGAGTTCTCATCATTCACTGGTATTTACTGTGCTCAAACGGCTTCGTTTACTCAAATAGATTAAGTTCACAGTATTCATTAATATTAGTTTTTTTAACTTTAATGGTATGTTGCAATCGATTTCGCCAAATGATTGGAGTTACCTTAACTTTGTGGGTTTTACAGTGAATTGTTAATCTATTAGATTTTTCACTGACAGCCTAAAATCAGTCTTGTTTTAGCCAAGTTATCTATGTTTAAACTTCTGTTAGACACACAAAAAATGCTTGCTGGGATGAAATATTGTTTTCTGGCGTAAACCTCTGTTCATTTGAGTTGAGAAAACTCTCCTAATAAACGTTTATGACCACTGTTTAGTCATATCACATATCAGTGCCATCTGTTGTTCACTTTTGGTATCTGACAGAGTGTTTGGACCCAGAAATTAGGACATGTGACATATAATATTGTTGCTAGCACAGTGGTGGGATACAAAAAAAAAACACCTCAATTCTGATTAAATAATTGTAAAATCTTTATAGTTTAGATTCCCACATATTTTTGACTGGACACTGATAAGCTTTAGTGTCTTTTAGGAGTTCTGAATGTCATTTGCACTCTGTTTAACATTAATTTTCCGCACGGCGGGCTGTTGTTTGTCTCCTTTGTTTTTTTTTTCTTTTTGTTTGGCAGTGTTATTGTTCCCACTGGGAAAAATACCCGGCTTGTACTGACTGCCACTAAAATATGTAAAACCTTAAACAGTAAACCCTCATTGTCGCATCAGGATCACTCAACATGCTGGCCATGCAGATGATGGATGATATGCACATGCTGTTTGACACTAATAATGTACCTAACATCCCAGATTAAAACACTCTCAGATTAGATTTTTAATAGTGTAATTGGTGCTGCTCATTACTTGGGGTCATCTGGTTGATAGTTTGTCATTGTAAGATATTGAGACATTTGAAGAGATGATAACACATTGAGTGTGTTAACTAATTACATTATTTTTTTGGTAGGGCAGTTAAATGGTTATTTATGTTTTTCAGGCCAGTGACTTTTAAGCAATTCAAACCAGGTTAAGCCATTCAGATCTTTACATTTAATCATTTAATTTATGTACTTTTAGACCCCGTTGAATGTATTACATTTTAAACTTGCTGGAACCATAAAATTTAAAAATGCTGGATCGTTCAATTACAACGTCCGATCAAATATGGGCAAACCCAACCACTGAGTATCACTGAGTAAAAAGAAAAATAGCCCAAACATTGGGTTCGTCTATATTTGATCCAACGTTGGGTTACAACAACCCACCATTTATCAAGTATATAATTGTAATTTATTAACATTGTATTAAATTGAGCTTTTTAAGGTGAAACTGTATTCATGTGTGTGATTTTTCTTTAAATCACTTGCGCATTCTCAGTAGCCATATCTGTATTTACCTATTATATTTGATGTGTATTTACGCAATACTGTATATGGCAGAACAACTGAAAGTTCTCTGGTAATTTCCTTACCCTCATGTCTTTCTTAACCCCAGTGAACTCCGTTCTTCTTCAGAACACAAATCAAGATATTTTTAGCAAATTCTGAGGGATTGTTGTCCTTCCGTTGAAAGTCTGTTCACCCAAAACTTTGACTATCTAAACGAATCTATATGAATGAAGCAATGTAATCTAGTTTCAGAATAGACATGATCACTTAAAGGGGTGGTCCACTACAATAGTATATTTGAAACTTTAGTTGATGTGTAATGTAGCTGTGTAAACATAAACAACATATCTGAATGTAAAACGCTCATAGTTCAATGAAAAGGAAGACATTGGCTTTTAGAGAGTTAGCTTAGCAAAGCCTACAGCAAACGAAGTTTGGGGACTGCAAAAAATCACATCCAGGTTAATGTCGTCATAAACCAGGTTACGTAAAATCACCCTGTGCAGTGACAGGGCATGGCCAGATGTGCTGTAATGTTATAACAGAGATGCTTCCTGGTGACGTGGAGCTGATCCCCAAATCACAGCACAAGATGCTAGCAGACCAATCAGAGCCTCTTGAGGACGGGCTTTTGAAGGAACTAGGAAATATTACAGTCAATTTCATGTTAGCGGAGTAGCTGTATATAATCAAAGTAAGATATATGACAAAATAATGTGATTTTTCACAAATGAAGCATGAGCACACATTGCTTTGCTTCTTTTGAACACAACCAAGTCTTAAAAATACACATTGGACCACCCTTTTAAAGTGATGAACAGATTTATTCTAGTGTTATATTCACATATGATAAGCTAAATGTTTTTATAATTTCAGAGTGTTCGCGGGGTCTTAAAATGTCTTCAAATATTTATTTCTTTTTTAAATATTTCCCAAATTATGTTTGACAGGAAACTTTCACAGTATGTCTGATTATATTTTTTCTTCTGGAGAAGTCTTATTTGTTTTATTTCGGCTAGAATAAATGCAGTTTATAATTTTTTAAACACCATTTTAAGGACAAAATTCATTAGCCCCTTTAAGCATTTTTTTTTTCGATAGTCTACAGAACAAACCGTCATTATACAATAATTTGCCTAATTACCCTAACCTGCCTAGTTACCCTAATTAACCTAGTTAAGCATTTAAATGTCATTTTGAGCTGTATTAAAGTGTCTTGAAAAATATCTAGTCAAATATTATTTACTGTCATCATGGCAAAGATAAAAGAAATCAGTTATTAGAAATGAGTTATTAAAACTGTCATGTTTAGAAATGTGCTGAAAAAAATATTTTCT